CCCGAGTGCTGGTGGGCCCCCGAGAAGATGACTTCATCCAATTTCCCTGAATTTCTTGTTATCTCATTATGTGAACTGGATTCTTATTTATGTTAATGCTGGGATTCTTATGATGATCACAGAAAAATAAATGTGTAGGAAGAGACCACAATGTCCGTACAATGCCTGGAAAACAAACATATGTTGGGCTGTTTGTCATCAAATGAAACATCTAAATTACACCCAAAATGCATCTGGAAATTAGTAATTAGAAGAAGAGAAAAACATTTACCGGCCATAAAATGCAAACACAGAGCAGGACTTTCAAAGATTAGTTTTAGAGAATGTCAAGCCCATCTCCAGGCAATAAAAAAAACTTACCTTTGCAGTGGAGCTACCCCCGCACTGCAAAGGTTAACGCTAGTTTTACCTAGGGGACACTATTAAAGCTGTTTTACTTACCTGATCCTCGGGGCTGCTAGACCGGTTCTTGTAGGTTCCTCTCCCCTGTGATGCAGTGGTCAATGGACCGCTGTTGGCATCACATCTTATGTAGGTCCATTGACGTGAGATGTGAGGACATCGAAGGACATTACAACATCAGGAGTGGATGGGGGGAATAGGGAAGCGCAGACTGCCACAGGAGCCGGGATCAGGTCAATAAAACAGTTTTATACGACTTCCATAGACAAAATGAGCACTTAACCTTTGTAGCCTCACTGCAAGGGTACTTTTTTTTTTTACTTGAGCAAGGTGCAACAATAAATACTTCCAAAAATCAGGACAGCTTGACTTGTTATCACTCACCCCTAAAGCCTTACATTGTCCAAAAGATTTTCAGAGCTCTCAGTCTGAATTATAGATGTTTTAAAGAACAATTCTGTCTGCAGTTTACACAAGCACCGGTCTTGTTCTGTTCCATGTACACTAAAAGGGTTTTAGATTCATTAGTCAGCCTTCATTAACAACACTGGGCCACCCAGAAGCCATTCTGACTACTAACCAATAATCTTTCGCACAGGTTATGTCAACTTCCGTCAACAATATCCAGAGCTGTTTGAAAACCTGACCTCAGAGGCAGTACGAAGCACAATAGAAGCTGGATATCCAGGAATTCTACCCAGTCGAGACAAGAATGGAAGAGTCATTCTCCTTTTTAACATTGAAAACTGGGACTATGAGGAGATCACCTTTGATGAGGTTTGTCTTAGTCAGATTCCACATTAATATAAATAATAGCAAAAAGGCAAACTGAATTTTTTATATTTGAAACTTAAAGCTGAACTCCAGGATAAGCAAATATTGTCTAAATACAAGAGCTACGTGTATTCTTGTTGGAATCTTGGTGTGTTCCATGTATTTCTTCCATATCAGCACTAGTCCACTATGAAACTTTGCCTCTGTGCAGGAGTTTCCTGTAAGAAAGACCGGTCATTGCTGCTCTTTCCTTGTGCAGGCTGACTGGTCTGGTCTCCGCCACCTCCTGTAGGCAGCCTGTAGTTGGTGGGGCCTGCTGGGTCCTAGGTTTGTGGCTATTGAGAAATATATATAAATAAACATTTCTGAGACTGGCCTCAGCTTTAAACATGTTTATTAAGTAAGAAACTGCAGCTAATAGGATTCTCTAATTATTGCAGTAAGCTCAATAGGAGTTCATTTTGGATTGGTTGCCATGGTTATAGCTGTTTTCACATTTGTTTTTCTTCCATACACAATAAGCCCTAGATGTATTTAAATGATTAAGACTGATCTGTAGACACTGCAATATATATATATATATATATAGATATATATATGTATATATATATCTATATATATATTCTTTTGTGAAATGTATTTACAACCTGTTAATTCTGAGGATGTATTTGAAATCATGATTGATGTTGTCATAGATCTTAATTCAGCAGTTGAATTCAGTCAGCAGTTGAATTCAGATGTCTTTTCCAGATTAGGTCCTTTTCCCTTTGTGGCTTGCTTGCACCACATCAGTTCAGCACGGACTCAACAACAAGGCATATAGAAAACAATTGTTAAAAAAGAAAAAAATTGTAAGCCCCAACGCCAGCCCAAACAATTTTTTTCAGTTTGGGGTAGCGTGAGGAAGAGTAAACCTTCTATCTGGTTTTATTCGCTGTCTATGTCTCCATTGATTCCCCTGAACACACACATTTTCTGTTTCTGTAATTTCGGAACAAGCAATGAGGGAATACGGGTCTCAGGACAGGCTGGCATAGATAGAAACATGCCAGAGATACTAAACCTTTCCTGTTGTACTAATAAAGTGTTATGTGGTTATCATGCTTTGATTTCCTATCACTTCCTATCCCTGGGACACTCAGGAATAGAGGTGAAAGGAAATGTCCCCACACAAATGGCAAACAAATTCTTATAGAGATCTAAATCCCTCCAAAATCTATTCAAACCTATAGCAAAAGTATTGACTAAAGTTAGGATTTAACATTTTTTTCAACTGTTGGCGCTATATAAATCCTGAATAATAATAATAATAACTTGCCTTTATGAGAAGGCAGCTTAGCAGTACAGCACCTAACCCCATTATTACATAGGTAACTTGCAGGGGCTCTTTTTGGGACTGGAATTTCTTTTACTTTCAGCACAAGAAATGAGAGGCAATCTCACCAGCCTGAAGGGAAATCCTTAGTTGTCACCAGAACAAGTGTCCCCATTGGAAGTTTTCGCCTCTATTCCTTTTCCGGTTGCAACTATAAAATGTTGGATTGCCTATCACTTTCTGTCTGGTGACAATGGCCACCAGGACAAATAGAGAGGTTGAGTCTCACCCATGGGCACACAATGTGACCACACTCTATCAAAAACATAATCAATCCATCGGATCTGACTGTGTTATTGGCTTAGGAACCCATAAGGTCTGATCTTGTAGTAACTACGAGGACAGTACAGCTGATTTCTATGATAACCAATGTAGCTTAGCTAAACTTTCACAAATAACGAAGGACTGTGTGTGATATTAATTTAAACCAGTGGTTTTGGATGTACAGTTGGCCAAGGGGCAGAAACACATTCTTTCTATAGCTCCACCTATTATCCTAAATAATGTAATCTTTTTGGGATATGTGATGGCACTAAGAAAGCTCTACAGTGCCTCGCAATGCCTAAGTGGAAGGTGTTTTGCTTCCTTTTGGCCCACCTTCCTATAAACCTTCTAGAATATTTATGATATTCAAAAACAACTCATTTATATGTATTTAGATGGCTAGCCACTTTGTTTGTAGATATTATACACTCAGTATTTGGATCTTTCAGATCTTACGTGCGTACTGTATTATTCTGGAGCACCTACTGGAAAATGAAGAAACACAGATCAATGGCTTCTGTATTATAGAGAACTTTAAAGGATTCACAATGCAACAGGCTGCTGGCATCAAACCATATGAGCTGAAAAAGATGGTGGACATGCTGCAGGTAAATTTACTGTCTATGAATACAAAAGTTTCTGACTATTGCTAATTCATGAATTGGTAGCGTGCAGCCTTTAAATAAAGCAGATGATGATGATATAAAAAAACTACACGTGCAGAAAATCATTTGAAGAAAATGTTGATGCGTCTTGTAGTAAACCTGGCAAACTCAGATGGAGCATATTATAAAAATACACACTGAAGGTCCAGAAATATAGGCCACTGAAATGATATGCATATCCTTGAAAACATGAGCTTTTTTTCTGCCTTCCACCCTCTCAGGTTCCCTATGGATTTTTTGATGTCATACGAGCATCACTGACCAATAGGGATTTCTCAGGAAGGCTTGGGGTACAGTTGAATTAGAAATGTACAGATCTGCATTTAGGTTCACCTTCCTGTATCTCTGAAATTACTAATCATTATGTTTAATAATTTTCACTGAAGTAAAAGCTGATCAACAGGCTCCCCCTATCCCCCAATCGCACTCCGAGGCTAGCCATACACAGGGCTGAACAAGAAAATATTCCCAATTCTCCCATCCATTCTAAGCAGTCTGAATAAGGGATTTTCCCTTGCCAGGTTATTGTATTCTAACAGTGACGACAGTATACTCCACTTAGTTGACTATATCTGACTTCTCAAGTTAAGAAAAACAAGAGCAGGATGGGTTAAATAGGGGTGGAAGAGGGGATTGATATTTGTCCAGAGTTGAGCTGTAATCTCTCATGTTCATTTATTGGTCAGATGCTCAGTTTGAATATTCCAGGTTTGTGATGGGATTCTTTAAAAAAAACTCTTTTTGTGATGTAAAGGAGCTCAGAATCATGGAGCAGAGCTTCCTAAAGGGACATCCTTATAATGAGGCGGTTGCCTTAGGCGGCATCTCATTGGGTCTCTTGGAGACCAGAGTGTCCCAGGTTACAAAGAGCTCTTAGCAATGCTTTAACTGGCATCCTGCTGAGCTGCTGGCAACCAGTGACATCAGTGAGCTGGGCAGAACACCAGAAAAAGATACCGTGAGTTGTCACCTGAGAGATATGACCATTCAGAAATAAAAGATTTATAGGAAGCAATATAATCTGGCATGCTGTTAAAATACTATTAACTGGGGCAGAGAGGTCTAGGTAAAATCCCCAGATATATCAGATATAACACTTTTGGCAAATGCCAGATGGGTTCGTCTGCCCTAATGCTTTTCAATTATAATTACCCATTACCGTAGCCGTGTCTCTTCGGTACAAATTTGTTTCTCAAATCTGTATGTGTTATGTAACTTTATATTTTCATTTAATTTATATTCACATTTATTACCAACAGGATTCCTTTCCTGCCAGGTTTAAAGCTGTTCATTTCATACACCAGCCCTGGTACTTCACCACAACCTACAACGTTGTCAAACCATTTCTGAAAAGTAAACTCCTTGAGAGGGTGAGTCAGTAAAAAGCAATAAATTGTTTTCCTGGGGTTGAAGGCGGTTTTTACATTGCTATTATGAGTCAGTGGCTGCATGCAAGGCTAGGTTAACCATAAGAACAAGGTCATTAAGTTGACAGTAAATCATTTCTTAGAAATTACAGAAGGCTTCAGCGAATGATCATTGATGCCATGTTCACAGGATAGTTCTGTCTTACATCCATGGGGCAAACCTTGAGAGATTAGTATTTTTGCTGAAGCTTTGTGGAAATGATTCATGTGAATTTAGTCCTTAATTAGAAATGGCCAAAGTCATGTTTTAGTAGTAGGAATTAGAATAGCAGTTCAGGAAAAACTTTTAATTTTAGTTAAATCGGCTATCAGGTCCTACTGAATGATACCTCCTGGGATAAGAAGTGTGGAGGCAACATTGCAAAACATACTGAGGGGAATTTATCAAAACTAGAGCAGACAAAAACCGGAGCAGCTGTGCAATGCAACCAATCAGCTTCTCTCTTTCATTTTCAAATCTTAACTGAGCAAACTGAAGAGAGATGCTGATTGATTTCCCTGGTCAAATGCTGATTCTGTCTGCTCCAGTTTTTATAAATTCACCCCACTGTATTTAGAATTGCTCAGAAGGGTTAGAACTTCTGTTACGTCAATGCTGCTTGTGGCCTCTTTGGAAAGAATGTCTTTCATTTCTGGTGACATATAGGCTAGGAAGTGAGTTTAATTTTCCTCTATGGGGGTCACTTTTTTTTGGGGTGGGAGGGCTTTTTTGATGTAGTGTAAGACTCTGGACAGGGTAGCAGGAGATGCTGGATTTAAATAAATCTGTAACCCCATAGCTATATTGAGCACAGAACCCACAAGATTAGTATTCTGTTACAACCACCGCTTTATGTATTTGCATATACTTTCCTGAGAGTCATCTGTATGGATATTATGACAACCTACTGACTTGGTGATATTCACAGATCGTGTCCAACTCAATAACTCGGACTCAGAGTAGAATCCAATGTAGTTTATTTGCCTTCTCAATACAGAGGATGTGATTCCTTGTCATTCTTAGAGCGAAAAGACATTCCTATCTTTGCTATTAATTGGTTAAATAGAGACCCTTTTACCTCAGTGAGGGGTGATGCAGAAAAGGAAGTTAGGAGAGGCTGGAAGGGTCTAGCAGAAAACAGCAGAGCAGGGGTAAAAGGAAGATACCAAGTTATACACAGATTAGGCTGTAACAATGCTAATCTACCACAAGTAGCTAAAAATACAGCATAGCACAACGAAATTAAATGAAATATATATGCAGTGTAACTTAAAAAGGAGAAATAATAAAAGATGACACTGGCTGTGGCAGCACAATTAGTGGCCGCATCTTTCACACCCTTGCACATGACAGCATTTAATATGAAGAGGGTCTGGGCCAGCATTGGGAGATGCAGGGAAGGGATGTGCAGGAATTGGGGGAGCTTTATGGCTAACAAGTGTAAGTCTACTGATGCACTGGTGGGAGCTCTGAGGCAAGTATGAGATATGAAGGATTTATGTGCTCACTGTGTAGGGGTGAATGATGGGGTGTCCTCCCACTGCTGTGTGTGACATACTCCGCACTGTTCCATTCTGTACAATGTGCAATGCTTTACATTCTCTACAATGCTCCATTCTGAAGACTGCACTTTGTTATATACTCCAAACTGCTAACCAGTACAGTATTAACAGACAGAGGTGATGTGTATCACCAAGACTTCCAATACCTCCCCATTCAGTATATGGGCAAACTTTACTTAGCAATAATAACTCTTACAGTGAATAGCTCAAATTATTGCCCAGCTTCTGCAGCTGGAGGCCAACCAATATGTGCAAAACTTGTTTTTTTCAGGAAGAATACTTCACGAAACTAGTATACATATAGTGGGATGCTTGAGAATCTGGCATTCGAAATGAAACCTGGTAACTAGCACTGGTGGAACCAGGCTTTTATTGTAAAGTCTTCACTATCCATTAAGTCTTATCCTGGTTTAATCTTGGGTTAGGGAATTTTTACATAAATATGTTCTGTACTGTAACTGAATCAAAATCTCAAACTGTTAGCTGACTGTCTTAACAGTTTTCCTACTAATTATTTCCTAACCATTGGCCTAGAACAAGTATGGAGACCAGAGGATCTGCCTTTATCAATGCCTACTTTTTTCTTGGAAGACACTTATAAAAAGCAATGGCAATTCAGAACACCATGCTAAATTAGATGTTTTTGTCTAGGTTTTTGTACATGGGGATGACCTGGCGACTTTCTACAAAGAAATTGATGCCGACATACTACCAGCTGACTTTGGGGGAAACTTGCCAAAATACGATGGGCGAACAGTGTCTGAGAAGCTGTTTGGAGCAAGAAATGATTCTGAAGATACGGCTCTTTGAAGAACAAAATATATGTTATATGCCTCAAATATCAGTATGTTATTACAAAAATGCTGAGGGTTATATGTTTCCTAGTTCTACTGATAGTAATAAAGTCTGCTATAAGCACTATGACATTGACAAATAATTAGGATATCTATCTGAACTGTCTTATCTATCTACTGTATATACTTAAAGGTTATATATGGATAGATATAAATCTGTAGTAGAGGAAACAATATTCATTTCATGATACTTATGCATATTCACTCCCTCTCAACCACTAATGCCTCCATCCAGTGTAGGAAACAAAAAGAATTGATAGACAGTGATTGGTTTCCTCTAAATGCCACCATTCTTCAGTACATGCTAAGATCATTAAAAAAAACTCCCACTAGGTTCTTTGAATAAACAGAATACAGGGAGTATGGTTGGCCACATCTTTCCTGTCTCCTTTCAATGATATGTATTAGATAGAAAATGGGCGATAGCTGAGTGTGGTAAGCAATCTACAAATATCATGACCATCCATATGGGATATCTTGGCTAGCGCATTTGCCAAGGGTAGTCATAATTGATCCATGTGATCTGAGAGGAACTCAACCCTTGATATCGGAACAAGGTGAACAATCTCTGCGACTGTTTGAAATGTACAGTCCTTTTTCAACTTCACCAGATCATGCTGTCAGCCAAGTGGCTACAGTAGGTCTTGGCAGTGTAGCCATTGGATAACCACGGATGCATTTTTGATTCCCTGTCATTCTTATTGATAGATCTGCCTAGGTATGATTACTGTCCTTTCTTTTGTCTTTTGAGGCTAGGTATAGTCCGAATAAGATACACCCCCCCCCCCAAAAAAAATGCCATGCTTACAAGGGGTACTACACCCAAACCCCAATACTGCTTTTAACACCACTGAAAGCCATGGCCTGCACACTTTCATAATGCTAAAATTATGAGTAAATCCTAAATTATGAGCTTGGGAGGTTCATCAGTGCTCTCATTCATATAAACAATATCCATGACCTTGCAACTGGACATGAAATAAAATCATTGTAGATAAAAGAAGACATTACAAAAATTACTGGAGAGTTTGTTCCTGGCAATGGCCCTAACCTCCCATTACTGATGTAGCACCATCACTGGGTTAGATATAAGAAAATGTATTTTAGGTCATTATAAGGTGTGGAATTTCTTCAAATTCCTTCTTCTTTAATAAATTACCATCGTTTTAATCATTTTCAGTCTGTATATTTACAAAACACTGCTGATGTGTTTATTGTATGACTGTAACCATAGATAAGCCGTAAATATGAATCTGTTTTGCATAAAATAATGTAGAGAGGATTGATTGGCTCCAGACATCTGACCTTACTGCTTATGTTCCTAATGACTTCTAAATACAGACAGTTATTAGGATCTGTTTTCTGTTACTAGTACACTGTAATTAACAGTAATCTACGTTTACTGGACTAAGCACCGACTACTTCATAAGATGAACGACAGCATTTTTATGAAGGGATTTGACCATTTAAAGTATAGAGTTACACAGCATAAGTATTTACCATCAGCATTTAATTAGCCTACAATTTCCAATATTTAGCTTCTGTCCACAATAACATTCATGGAATCACTAATTAAAATATCAGGTATATAACAAAGAAAGACTTTTTGCACACTCACCCAATATTAAACCTGTGAACACATTCTTGGGCTACAGTTTCTAAAAATATTTACCAAGCCAATAAAATAAGTTCTACTATAAAAGGGGTTGTGGCATCTTAAAGAGACTCCAAACTCACAAGATAAATCTTAAAAATACATTCAAGTACCTTAACAAAAATGTATCTTATTTGTGTATCACTCGGCTGTAGATCATCAATTAATCTCTGAATTGGTGTTGACACTGTCCTTCCTTCTGGAGGGTGGCTACTTGTGTTCCCCATGGTCCCTGTGTGTTGTAAAGTAGTCACCACTCCAAGTTCACTCCTGTGATGGACTACATTCTCACGTGTAGTTTACTAATTTCTATTGAGATTATAGTCCATCATAGGGACCATGGGGAACACAAGTAGCCACTATGCAGAAGGAAGGACAGTGTCAGCACCAATTCAGAGATGTTTTGAGGATCTACAGCCAAGTGATACACAAAGATACATTTTTGTTAATAGTTAAGGGACGTTTTAAGATTCAACTTCTGAGTTTAGTGTCACTTTAGGGTTACATTCACACTAACCTCTAGCCTTTGGTTTAATTAAATACAGGAGAAATTATCCGATATGTAGAAACAAACTTTATGCTCCCCAGATCACTTTCTCCTGCGTTTAAATGTACCTTCATTTACACATGTCCAGATAACATTTTATACACAATATGTGTGCTGTTTTTTTTCTTCTTCTTCCTTTACCCCCATACTGAAAGTTTTCTGTATTCATTATTCTTAAACTTGAGCACCAAATACGCTTTAAGAACCAGCAAAGGTCTGGAGCAAGGATTATAAAACTAGGAGAGTTGGATTGCCATGCTCACACACAAGCGGTAGCCCCGCTCTCCTAACATGCCCCCCTTGGACACTGCTCTAATATACAGGGAATGAGAACGATGATGATTAGAGCAGTGACCAGTGAGGCATGTCGGACCTCAGAAGAGCTCCTGTGTGAGAGCCTCAGTCTGAAGCTCCTATGTGATGGCAGCACAGGGTTTTTTTTAACCCATGATGCAGCACTTACCTGATTACAAAAAGTAAAAATAGAATCATATTTATTACTGTATATGCAGCCAGACTGCACTACAGTAATACATTTAGAGTGGTCAGTTGGGCTTTAACCTCTTGCCGTCCGCCCGTAGTAAAAAAAACGGACGGACGTAACTGCAGCATCTGCGGGTTGCCGTCTCCAGACGGCAATTTTTTTCATCAATGCCATCGTTGGACACACTGCAAATGAATAAAAAGATTAATACATTTAACATTAAAACAACGTCTATATTTTGCATTGAATGGAATCATTTTTACAAGTGCTTATTATTACACTATGAGAGCAAAGAGAAGGTGTTTGCTGCAAACCATAACTCAATGAATTTTCAGTGGCCTAGCACACATAGCTTTCGAGATCCTTTGCTTGCAGATCCAGATCGCTGCACACCATTGATGAGTGAGTGTAGAAATCTAAACATTGTAAAACACAGATCATTGGGATTCCCCTGGAGGGAATCTGACCAAACTCTCCAGAAACACCGTTCATCTTTCGAAGTTTTAGCATTGTCCTTTGTTTCATATGGATGGAAATCACAATAGAATACTTATTTCTGTTGTTTTATCCTTGAAATAAACTTTATCACGTACTGTACAGTTGTCTTTGTCATTGAAAGAAAGCATTAAGAGTTATTGTGTTGGAGGGTGAATCCAGACCCTGCAGTTATTGACTATCATCATTTGCTGACTTTAGAATTTTACTGTGCACGTATTTCATTTTCCTGGCTTGCTTCTGCTTGGCAACTGCAAGGAACAAAGCAAACACTGAAAGCGCAACTAAACCAAAGAACCACAAAGTAATATATCGGTGCTCACCTGTTCTTAGATGTGGCTCCATTAGTTTTGTTTTTCTTTTCCAGTGGTGATCCGTCCTGTCCTAGGGTGAAAACATTAACTCACTTTACTGTATCTATGGAGGAGCAGCGTTGTCACCCTAGGACAGCAATTGTGTTAGGACTTTACAGTACCTCCCCATCTCCATAACATAGGGAGGAGGTAGGTGTTCTGTAATTCACAGTGGTGAACTGGACAGGGCTAATCCCTCTGCCACGATGGCTGGCTAATGGTACTTGTTGTTTCTCCATTCACAGCGTCTGTCAATGGATCTCTGAATGGATGATGTGGGCAGAGTCATGTAGTGATGTACCAGATTCAAACAACAGCAGCAGCCTGTGGGGAGAAGGCACATGGGG